TGCATAAACGCGCACCAAGAAGTGCATTCGTGAACATTTGTATTCTTATCAAATATCCTTTAAAAGCATTTTTGAAACTCGTTTACTTGCAATAACAAAATAACATTAAATAACACTTGTCGCGACGACAACAGTCAGCAAAGAAAATGTCTTTAAAAGGCCAGTTAACTGGTTGATGGGCTATACTTGATTGACTGGCAAAAAAAGACACAAATGCTATTCGGGATCTGCCTGCCTGCCTTCCTACCTGTCTGCCTGCGTGCCATCATCATTGGCCAGAGAACTGATGATGATAATGATGATGATGATGATACCTTCACTAACGTTGGCAATCAAATAAATTTTCAAATTTATGACGTTTAAGAAGCATTAAAAAATGGTCGAAAAGAGAAGAAAACAAAAGGGAAAAAAAATTATGCAAAATGCCTTAGTTGTTACCTTACTTTGCTTACTTGGCGTTGTGGGGAAGCTTAAAGCCCAACTGAATACACTTTTGTATAATTTTTGTATAAAATTTACAAATTTATTATTAAGCAAAACCTTCAATTTAATAAGTTAACGACAATTCAAGTCGTCAAGTTGAGATGAGTTGAGAAATTAAGTGATTTATTATAGTCTAAGACACACCACCACAGTACAGCAGAGTGTGTGTTTATAGAAAGGAAGACAAAACTAAAAATCATTTAAGATTACTATCGATTTTTGTTATTATTATCTATCTATAATAAGAAGTATACAAAAATTGAAGAACGTATAAAATTAGTAAAAAGCAGCAGCTAACAACACAGCTAACGCCCTAAAATATATGCATTTATGTGTGTACATAGCAGGCAGCCATAGGAGGAGGCAGGATCTTATGTACATCATGCTTTTGCAAATGCCAAAGCTGCAAGAACCTCAACAAAGTAAATATGAAATCCTTGCGAAATAGCTTTTCCTTCTGCAAATTTTTTTTTGCTCATCTACCATTCCTCCATCCGATTCCTTTCATATTTCATACGCTCTTCTTGTTTCGAAAAATGTGAATAAATCTTTTAGAAATTTATTATTAGGAATTTTTACTCACAATTTCCTCATATTCATCGCATTTAGCTTGAACACGAACCCAAATGCCCAGTGGCCCTCTTATAGAGAAACTTGTAAGCTTACATTTCATTATTTAACCGCCAGAGTGCACCACTGCACAAACAACAACAATTTACTTACAAAAATTCCCTTTTACACACCCATGTACATACATAGGCACACACATAAATTTTTTTTTTTTTTTTTTGCTCTCTGACTTGTGTGGACCATTATCAAGAACTGGTTTCTATTACTTACAATAACAAAGTATGAATAATAATCGCAGGCAGCCATTCGTTGTGCGTATGGCGGTAGAGCAGAAGGCCATAGCTACGAGCAACCATATTGAAATTGTAACTGTGGTAATGCCGCCATGCGCGCGCACATTTCATATATGAGCAAAAGAAAATCACCGATGATTATTGGTGTGGTTTCAGTACAATCTCTTTTTGCTCATGAGTGTGTGTGTGCGTGCTTATGAATGCATGTGCCTGCCAGATTAGACGATATAAAATCGATTTGCAACGGAAATCTCGAATACATTTTTCGTATATTTTGTATAAATTTTGTTATTGCATTTGATTCTCTTTACTTTTTCAAAACTTGTTATCGAACGTAACGTCCGCTACAGCAAGACAGTTCTTATATTTGCCAACACTTTGTAAACAGACGTTGGAAGACTGTCTCTCTCTTTCTCTCTCTCTCTTTCTCTCAAGTCTAACAATTGCATCGAGTTTAAACGTCTAGAACGTTGTTAGAACCTTCACTTCACGTAATACCGTGCATTTTTTAAGCACACTTCAGCGAGCCCTAGAAACTATTTAACCAAGAGTAAAACTGGCTTGACGTAGTTTGACGTATCATTGTGTAGGGAAGCGAGAGAGTAATATATAAATGAATAAATGAAGCGAACGAGTGAAAAGCAAATTTTCTAGGAGATCTATATAGCTACCTAGCTTCAGTTGCATTAAGAACTCCATTGTAATGTTAGCACTAGTACAAAATGAGACATCAAATGTTCAAAGACATTTATCTAAGCCTAGCTTTTTGGCATGATGATGGCACTCTGATGATACTCGAATGTCTGACAACTCTCACCAATCAAGCAGTTAAAGGTGAGCGACGGAACGTTCGCACAAAATTAACAAATAAATAAAACCTAAGATGTCTGCCGAAAAGTCTTAAGACATTCTAAAGCCCACGATGGAAGAGCAAACCGAATTGGCCGATAACTGAGGGCCGAAGCTCAGTCACACCCACTTTAGTTACAAGACTTAGGCAAGGGTGCAGTCGTAAGGTTACGACGGTAAGAACGACTGCTTTTAGGATTCAAATTGAAATTTTTTCATGGACTGGATAATAATAATAATCACACGTGATTCTTCTCTCTATCCTCTTCTCTTGAATGGATAAACTCCATGGGCTGAACTCTACTTTTTTTGCAGTGAAGAAGTTTGCCATTTTTCCATGTCCATAAACATTCCTTAAATCTTATTTCGATTATTCAACATACGCACAGATGAAGTGCACACCTACAAGCCCCTTCTTTTCTTGTTCTGATTTAATGCGTTTCACATAGATTCGTATTTAATTTGGACAAAACTCTAGAGAAAAGTCTAGACCAAGTTCACAAGTTCACATCTCACCCAAAAGCTATTGATTCGGACGATATTCGTTTGGACGCTTTCTTAGTAATATGAGAAATACAATTTTTCCTAGTGTTGTTGTACTCACCTCGTATGCTTCGTTATCTCTATTGGGAGATGTTTGGAAATTCTCGCTCAGTGGAGTTCTGCTTTCGCTTCAACTCTTTATTACGTCCGCCAAATGTTTTCAAGGCGGCTGGACAGATAACGTCCGCGACAGAGAAGTCTGAGGAGCTTCTTTTGATCTAATAATTAAAAAATGATAAATTGGTTAACAAGCGGCTGGAAAAATGCTTGACCTCGACCATTGCTCACCGTTATTCGGGTCGTTGAATGCCGTGGTCAGGAAAATCAAATTAAATTATTTCGCAAACAATATACAAAAAATAAAATGTAAGAAAAGACAGAGAAAAAACCCGAAAAAAGCTTTCTATGCCTTCTATGATATGATGAGAAATATTTTTGCTTGAAATTGAGCCGACAAGAAAACTTTCCAGGCCTACTATGATAAGATGAGAAATATTTTTGATTGAAATTGAGACAAGTTGAAAATGCTGCAAAGTGTATTAAAGATAAAAATTGGTTTCTCTTGCATAACAGCGTACTCATGTCAGCGTGTTGTAGATTTGCTGACTGACAAAACGAGAAGAACAGCGTATGATGGCCGACTGTCAAGTCAAATGATTCGCATAATCTGCTCATTTATAACAATGGTAGCGCTCATAATGAGTGATCAGCAAAGGATTTCGGCTTTAATAGAAAAAAGAAAAGGGCGGTGAAATTTGTTGGTCAAGGAGCACTGAGCGAAGTATTGAAAAGTGCCTTAAATGTGCCGCGAAATGCTTGTTATTTCCATTCAACGACATTATACAGTTTATCGACCTGCAAGGTATTGTCCGTTGTGAGAAAGAGAGATAAAGAGTAGATTCAGATCGGGTTTAGATTGAAATTTGTAGCGTTCGTACTAGATGGTGATTTAAAATTTAGAGACGGCAAAGCAAGCTGCCGAGACTATTTATTATGTATGTATGTAACATACATAGTGCGAAAGTATGGCCTTCAAGTATGCGATGGTGACATTGATTGATTGAAGTAAAGTTTAAGATTACTTTTGCTGACATTGAACTGTAATATTGTGGAATATTCTTATATTAAATATTGTCGTGTTCGATTACGGTGTACAAGTGTTCCGATAAGATCATAATTTCGCCCTTACAAAACTGCAGCATTTTCCTTGGAATAAATTGTAATGTGTTGTTTACCGGCGCCCATCGAGACATTTAAGAGATTGCACGATGGATTCGACTAAATACGTAAAAATTGCTCAACTAATGTGTGTCAGTACCCGATGTATTGCTGATGAGACTTTAGGTTAGTCTTAGAGCAGCCTTGCGTTTTATTGCCACATGTCAGTCAAACTGGTATGTTTACTTACTTGTGGGTGATTGACCTACGCATCGCACCAATTTCTTTACTGCGACTTACAATCAAATGGTATTCGTGATGATTGTCTATGTTTCATTTGCATTGATTTATGCGATATATCAGTGCAATCTGTTGTGAGCAAAAAGCTCAAGGTTATGTTTCAAAAAGAATATATCCTGCATTAGGCTGTATGAGTTATGGTTAAAGTAAATTGAACCTAAGTGCGCTAAAGTCGGACGGCCGGACGGACGGACGGACGAGCTCGTTCAGAAACTTTATTTAGAATTAGAAAGTGGATAGTTGATGGCTTCTGTTATAATATATGCAAGTGATACGAATGGACTGAGAAAAGTGATATACCTTCAATATTGTAGGTAATGGATACAAAATTTATTTTTATATATTTTTCTATTATTGTTTCGTTCATTTTATTATTCCTTGTCTTCTCTTAAGTTGTTGCTCCAAATGATTTATTATATGTCATAAAATTTATGGGTTATTAAAGAAATAATTAGTTGTTAATATACTATAACAACATTTAACGACCTATAAAAATGACACTGGTGACGTTATAAAAAAAAACAAAAAATTACCAAACCACTTATACCTTTAAAGACGAGCGTCAACGAGTAAGTAAGTGGCTGTCGCTGTTTATAGGAAAGAAAGTCAAAGTCAACAAAACGCTAAACAGCATAACAACAATTCGAAACGAAACATAATATTCGCATATAAAAAAGTGTTTACGAGCTTTAGGTGAGCACTTAATGGGAAATGCCGTGGATAAGTTTGAAAATCAAACGAGCGGACGGAAGAAGCGGAGTAAATAGCTGACTAAACACATATGAATAAATCAATAAGATGTTTACGAATATAAATCAGTCGGTTCTTTACGCGCTCAACTGTTAACCCTTTTTCTTATTGGTCATAAAAGACGTGTTGATTACCTCAATTAAATCGTATACTTTGAATGTAACAGAGATTAGCAAACAAAAGATGTCTCAATGAGTTCTCCTTTTCCTTGTCACTTCTTCCCTCGCGCCTCTCCTCTCCCTCTCGCTCTCTCTTTCTCTATCTCTTCTTCGCATAGAAATAAACCAGTGTCTGGTCGGTGTCATTTTTCAAAAGTCAAAGTCATTTGGCTTTTCGGTCGACTCACGGCTACTTAGTTATAAACATTGAAATATTGTTTAGCTAAGCTTCTAGAAAATAATAAATGCCTCACACTTAACCTGAGTGAACTTACGTGAAATGAGAGATGTAACAGAAGTAAGCGAACCTGAGCAGATACGCCGTAAGCATAACGAAGGCATTGTATTGAATGGGGGAAGATTCTACTCTAATATCGGTATTTAGCGTTATGCTCTTATATAATTTTTCTATATACTTAAATATATGTATCCTAACCAACTAACTAACCGCGAGTTATCTCATAGTAAGCGTATCCTGCAAGAGCAACCAAGTAGACAAGGACCGCGACCAAGTCAGTACTTGCCGGTCGCAAGTCTCAACTGCCATAGAATTTACTTTGGTCGCAGTTATTGTGAGTGTTCGATCGGTAAAGGCATAACAGACTGACTAGGCCGCAGCGATCACCTCCCTATAAATCATTCCCTTGCTTCACTTCTTCTCCTTTCTGGATTCCCTCATCGTATTGCACAAATGGCGGACATTCCTTGAATAATTTGTTATTTCACAAAAATTTACCAAAACTGCCGGCTACGAGTTGTCTCGTAGTGTTTTTTGCATTTTCAGTTTAATATTAGAAAATTTCATGTTTTCTTCAAAATAACATTTTGGCAAGACACTCTGTCTGCCAGTGAATAAGTTAAGCTGATCTAAAAGTACTTTCAGGAATAAGTCGCTGTCTAGATATTTTTAAAAAAAAATCTTCCCAAAAATCATTTACATAACCTGAAATATTGGTGCAAAATTGTCGTGTTACAAAGAGTATATATAACCGGATTTCCTTCCAAGCAGTATGCAATGATTAAGTCAATTGCGTCTAGCGATACGTTATCTTAACTGAAAATTCATATTTCATTGGTTAATTGAACTAAACAGTTTTGTGTAATTCCATGACTTGTGTGATATAGACATCAAGCGATTTTATTGTTGTTTATGTTCATTTTCAAGTGTACGGCATTGATGAGTAAATTAAGTACTTTCTCTATGTAGATGCCTGTTTTCAGAGTTTTTTCAAGAACTATTTTATGAAAGATTTATGCCGCAGTCTTATAATATTCTATCAGCATTCATATATGATAATGAAGTCGTTGGCTGGCAGCTTAAGTGAAAACCAGAAGGATAAGAGCGACTCTACTTATGCAATGACAGTCGCTTCTCGAACTGATTTGAAAATTCAACGACTGCGTAATTGTATGTGTATGTTGTTAAATAAAAGGCTCAACGGCATACCTTGGCATCTTAGCCGTCTTCGCAGTGTTTATTTTTATAAAAGCATACGAAGTTTTGTTCAATATAAAAACCGAAATCACTTTGGATAACATTAGCCCCTTGCTTGCCCCTTTCTCATCTTTTAAAATCGCTGTAATTGGTTTTAAAACTTTACCTGGAGGTCTCAAATGTATCCCTAATCCTTCCACCAACTTGGGTTAGGAAATGTGGTACTCACTCACTTTTTGGGTTTGAATATTTTTCAGTTTTGCAGTGCAATGATGGTCTCAAAGTGTTTCTCGGATAGATGGCTCTTCGCTGTACGTGTTAAGTAAATATCGTTGGCAGAGAATACAAAGCAATTTTCGCTTCTTTTCGATTTTCATTATAGAGACAGCCAATGCGAACGATTTTTCGCTTTTCGTAAAGCGTGGAACAAACTCAAGCATGCTTCGAGTGCTTCGATATTTTTTAAAAGAACACGAATTTTCGGTTTATCTTCCTCTAATATGAAACCTAGTAACAAATGGACTAAAGGAAAGCGCCAAGTCCAGTTTCCTATTATATTTTCTAAAAGAGTAGAAATTTCCGATTTATCCAATCGAGTGAAAATATTTTCATTATACCACAAGCACAAGATTTTGATGACTTAATGTTTTATTTGTAATAAGCTACAGTATGGCAAATGTAAGCGGAGGTAAAGAAGATCGAATGTACATTTAAGGGTCTTATGTTATAAGGAAGATTGGTTTTGCTTCCCCTTTTGCTCGAATAACAAATTCATTAAAATTTTTTTTTACACGTTGTATATCGCCTCATACATGCATATAAATTCCAAAATGAAGATTACACTGTAACTTTGACGCCGAGCGTGCATAAAAACAATCCGCTATTCGAACGCAAAGGGTAAAAATTTCAAAGCAATCAATGACGAACTTACGCAGACTTGTTTTGAGTAACGAACTTTTACATTTTTATTTACATAGTTTTTGTAATTAGTCGGCGATAGGTTGTGGTCAACGTTATAATTATTTATGATGCATAGACTTTCCATTTTACGTGCGACACTTTGGAACTTTTCCAGTTCTTCATATGAAGTGATCAAATTATAGAGTTGCCATTGCACTTTTTATTTGCCACCTGCTTCATTAGGTGGATTTGGACTTTACAGAGGTGAAGAAAAAACTAGATAACGCCATGCTTCTACCCCCTGAAGCATAGGAAAACAGAAAATACTACAACGAATTGCGATTTATATACGCAATAAGCAAAATGACACTTTTACAAGCCTTCGCAACTGGCCAAAGAAATGCAAAATTCCTCGGGCTCGAAGGATTTGGAGTATGCGACTTCTTAACTTTTATGTGCTTGTTGTTTAAATCTTAATTTCTTACTTACAAAATTCATTGCCGGAGTTAAGTCAGTT